GCCGCGGTCCTGGAGTGGCACTTGAGTAGGAAAACCACTGGTAAAATTTCGGTGTCGGAGCTTGCTTGGGTGCCGAGTTGAAATATCCGGACAGACGCACACACACACATACACAGAGACATATACACACATACACACATATACACACATACACACACACCGGGGTCGTCACAATATGCGTTTTTGCATTTGCATATTGTGCAAAAACGCATAATGAAAGCAAATGATAATAGCCGAAATAGTTGCACATTGTAAATAGCAACTATCCGACGGAAAGACTATTACATGTCATTATTTCAAGGATTACCGGAAGACAATGTTTCTGGAAGCAAAACAGGGATCTGATTCCCATCATAATCAATTTATAATCGTAAGGAATGTGGTGAGTGGTGCAAAGAACTAGGCTTAATAGCGGCGTACTGGAACCGCAGGGCTTTCGCCTAAACTGATTTGCCAGTGATAATGTTTTCATATGTCCAAGAATGTGAAGATTTTAAGGATTTCTGCCCCTTAACTGATCGTTCACAAAAAACTACGCTGAAGTGAGCAAAAAATGTCATCAGCGCTAATCTCATTTAAAGGATTTTTAAGTCCACAGAATATTCTGGCACCCTTTTTTCCCTGAAATTTTTTTGTAAAAACCCAGACTGCTGCGAATTGTTATAATAGATTGTGTTGCGGCGTGTAAGAATGCAAGCACCAGTCGAAGGGGATTCACAAAGGTTGCACGAAGTCCATGAATGTCTAATCTACACCTCTAACATCGGAATTCCTAGCTGAGACTCTTTGTGCAGATGAAATAATATAATTTTTCACACTCACCATGCTCGAAAACTCATCGTTTGACGAAGGCAGACCTTCTGGATCCGAAAAACATGTCCTCGGTTCAGTGCCTACAACAATCGTCCTAGGCTCCAAGTCGCTGGCCACTTGGGGCCTTTGCACCTCTGCAGGAGATGTTTCACGCCTAGTATCACGTAGGAATGCCTCTGCTTCAATTCGACTCACTGCGGCTTGCTCATCACCATCGTTTTCTGTTGAACTTCGGCTTCTTTGCCTTGATTGCTTAGCAGCTACCGGCGAAGATCCATCGTTCTGTACCGATGAGTTTCGGCTTCGCTGCACTTTTGTTTCCTTTCCAGTCGTCGGCAATGCATTACACTGCTGCTTCAGTGCCGAAGTACGGGCTTTAGGATGCACGAGAGCAGTTCCACCATTGGGTTCTATTTCCAGGATTACTACTCCCGATTTTCCGTCCGGCTTCACATCATCCATCTTTTTTCTTTCACGCCCTGCATATTCGCTGCCGCTTTTCCCATGTGAAACATTACTGAAAAAGTACAGTAACGAATTAGCGATATTTGAAAGAACAACAAATCTACCAATTTAGCAAGTAGTTAAAGTGAAAAAGCCTCAATGACTCAAAAAAACAGGGCCTCAAATTTGGAACTCAAAAAAAAATTTGTTTAACTAAAATAACACTTTCTATCTACATCTCTTACTTGCTTTCATTGAATTTGATGCCTTAATTAGCACTATCATTGATCTGATGAGCGAAGATGAACCATAATAAGAGCAGCAATAATGATACTAATAATGGCAATGGTGACGATAATAATAACCCAGGCTGGAACGCACCAGGCGAGCCGGTGCGATCATGCGTTTTTGCATCAAATTTTGAGG